AAATTGGCTCGCTAGCCGTATAAAAGGTTAGAGCAGTTTCCGCCCAAGTTGGAGGACTCCACAACCATCTCGTGGGGAACTCTGAGGGCGCTGTGGAGCCTAGCAAACTCCGTGTGTGTCTTGGAGGAGGACATAGGGGCCTGATCAGCTTCTAGCCACTCCCCGTCATAGTCAAAATTTGACGTACCCCTGTGTGAAGCGCTCGTGGAGTCGTGCATCGACGACTCATCTCGGTGCGGTTCAGAAGAGATCTCACTTGTGTTTGTTTGTGTGCAATTGCAACTCAAGCAAGTTTCCTTCCTGCACTGTGACCATCAGCAGTGTAAGTAAAGCTTTCTTTGTAAAACCAATACGCTTCCGTGCCTAACTCTACTCTGTCGTGGAAAAACCCCACCTGACGGTCCGGGCTACTGGCCATAGCCTTAGACCGCCCTCGGTCCCCGACAGGCATAACATTTCACTGAGGTCTAGCCAGCTTCAAGTGGAACAGTACCATTAGTTCGCTATGTCCTTTACATAATACTTCTGTTAACACTGCCCCAAAAAACATTTGCTTTGGGGTTTTTTTTACACTATCACACTGCCAATTTACACTGGGTCTGTGACACCACAAAACTGAGGTCCTTCTTGGCAGTGCTACTGCTGTGCGGTTTTCATTTTGTCATCTATAGCACAGTTCTCCAAAGGATCTACAACCCCTCCTAGTTTTGTGCGTTTCTGCAAACTTTATTAGTAAGCTCTCCATTCTTGCATCCAAGTCACTGAGAAAAATCTTAACTGGCACCAAGCCCACAACAAGCTCCTTTGGAACCAAACTTGAGTTTTTCTGACATTTGTGCCATTGATAGCTACTCTTTGCTTGCAGGTTTTCCACAAATTGTATACCTACCAAAAAGTAATTCTATCAGTCCCACATTTTACCAGTTGATTTATAAGAATGCCATATGGAACTGTGTCAAGACACTTACACTGAAGTCCAAATATATTATATCCACAGCACTCACCTCATCCACCAAGCTAATTACTCTGTGACAGGAGAAAAATCAAGCTGGTTTGGTTGATTTGTTCTTAAATCAAGTTTGGCTTATGTACACCTTTTCATCCTCTTAATTTTTATAAACTGACTCATATAATTTGTTCTAGTGACTTCCCAGGATTAAAATCAGGCTGACCAAACTGTAATTCCCTGAATCTTCCATTTTTCCTCTGTTAGCCCTTCTCCAGTCCTTTGGAACTTGACTTGTCATCCATTACTAGGCAAATACTACTGCCTGTCTCTCTCAGATTTCTCCAGTCACTTCCTTCAGTCCACTAGGATGCACTGAGTCGGGTCCTGCTGATTTAAATGCATTCAAATTTGCCAAAAGCTCTGACACACTTTACTATATTGGTAGTTTACTGTTGAGTCTCCAGTGTTATGTCCTTTAGCAACTGCCAGGACCCCTTTTTATCC